TGATTATTGATTCTCCTTTTTACTTAGTCCTTCTTCTGCATTGCCTAAATTAAACTGTCGATTTGTGCTTTTGTATTTTCGTATTTCTTCCTGTATCTTTTTAATTTGTGATGTATGTATTTATTTAGATTGTTCTATGTGAAGAGAAGAGCCAGTGATTAGTAATTTTTTTTTCCTTCAGTGAATAGCTTCACATATGAACTCCGTGCTACAAAACTGTTAGCCAGTTGCTCCTGAATTTAACGCGCTAATCTTCACCAAAATCATATATTCCTAAAAAAATGGTCTATTGATTTATCAAATCAACTGTCAACAAGATGAGCTGTTCCATCAAAGAATATAACATCTTACTGAAACTACATATTTTGTATTTGGCTTTAAAAAAGAATAGCTTGGACTTTGGGTAGAAGGACTTGCTGAAAAAAAGAAAATTATATTTAATTCCGAATTTGTCTAACAACACTTACTGCTGAAAATAATTCTCTGGTGTGAATGGGTTATTTTTTTTTTGATAAGGTAAAGGTTAATTTGAATGGGTTGATTATTAATCTGATTGGGAAATCATGTCTTCTAGCCTAGAGAATATTATATGGGGTCGTCATTGTAAAGTCCGAGGAAGTATTACTGAAATCTACAAGCTATGTCCATAGAATAGGAGGAAGATTCAGGACTGAAGAATCAATCAATCTGCTTTTTCTGCACCACTAGGTTTAATATAATGTTTCAGAAATTATTGACTAAAGCCAATTGACTAAAGCCAGTTATATTACCCTCTATTGCATTAAAGGGTTTACTGTGTTTTATAAAGTTTTGAGTAGAAGATATATATGCATCTTTGTAGGTATAGGTCTTCTTCTCCATCTTTCTGATATGTATCCCAGCTTTCGGGATTAAAAACAGCCAATAAAATCTTCGTTCTCCGTAGGTAAACATCCGGCGAAAGAATTGCACTTTATGGCTTCTCTTATTATGTTGGAAACATGGGCATAGTTTGATGCCTGAGGTGGAATTCCAGTCCTCAAGTCCAAAGCTGAAGAAACAATCTAAAGAAGATGAATTAAGTCATTAACAACAACATTCTTGAGGAATGCAGATATAAACTTGAGAAAGACTTGTTTTTGATCAATTGGATAGCAAAAAGCAGCTCTAAAGAAACTGAGAAATCCGAGTGAAAGAAGCAGTAAGCATTGTTTAGTCATGGTGGATGGTTGGTTCGGATTCTTCAAGTAAGGCATTAATAAGCACAATTGATTTTATAGAAAGATACTTTTGCCCATACTAAAAACTAACATGATTTTTGATACCATATTCGAGAGATGATAATCCTTCTTCATGAGATGCTTCCAAGTATATCCCTATGCCTCTTACGCTTCTAAATCTCAGAAATTACTTTATCATCTTCAAATAGTCTAATAAACTAACACGACATGCTTCTCTGATGATATTATTAACATAAAAATGTTCTCTTACTATTTCACTGTCGTTTCTCAGCTCTTTCTACTTGTTTATTTTAGTTGTTAAAAATATGTATGCCAATGATTTTTGCTATTCTGTATGAAATGGAATAAGAGAATTAGGATAACTCAAAGACCAAAATCAAGTGAAGTACTTCCTTGCTCCTTTATGGTTTTGTAGAATTTCTTCAATGTTTTTATAAACTATTTCACTTTCATTTAATATGCCAAGTTTTACTCTACTTTTCTCTTCAATATGTACATTATTTGCTACAGGTGATTAGCATAAACTATTTCACTTTCATTTAATATGCCAAGTTTTACTCTACCAAGTGATTAACATTTTTTGCTATTACAGTCTTACGCTCAATTAAGAAAGATAAACCACGTAACTGTAAGTAGAGAGACCTAATACTTTATCTTATTATTAAGTAGAAACTATGAGTTACTTATTTCATCTTTTTCTTAAAATAGTTGTTGACGTTGTTTCTTCTTAATTTGATGGTTTCTCATGTATAGACTCGCATTTTACTTCAAGAAAAAAGCAATGCAGTTGCAGAGATGGGATACAATGAAGGGTCAACAGAGCTTCATATCCCAAAAGCCTATCAGTATGCCACAAAAATAGCTACTGCGTGGTGTAGTGTTCTTTTTGGCTCAACTAGGATTGATAAATTTTGCTACCATTGTCTGATGTTCATCGACGATTGCTGCCTCAGGTGTCTACGCTGGTTGATAAACCCCCATTCGAACACCATTTTGGGAATGGGACACTTCAAAATTATTTAATATTATAACGCCAACAGTCTGCTATTTGATGCACAACTTTTTTTTCTCCTCCATTTTGGACTGCTGTGTTTAGTTTCTTTTGCTGGTACAACCGGTCTTACAACTTCTAAAAGGCATAGACTGCCAACTGAGTTTATGGAGAGAAAATAGAAAAGATTTGACATGCTTATTGGATTCATGAGATGTGATTATTTATCATGCCGGTTGAAGTTCCTTGGTCTTCTTCTTCTTTTTTTTTTTTTTTTTTTTTTTTTTTTTTTTTTTTTTAACTATGCAGAAAAGCAGTCATTATATTTCACAAAATGCTTATCAAATGTATGTGTCATTTCGAACTATTGCAAATATTCTTATAAGGTAAAAGTTGAAGCTTAACAACTTATTTCAAATTTAGTTATTGTGGAATAATGTTGCTTCTTGTAACAACTTCTTTAAACAACTATTGGGCCCGTGCTAACCACGGGCAACACCCCACTAGTAAACTAATAAAACACGGATCGGCTAACTTATTTTCTCCCAAACGTTTCGTCTTCCTTCATTGCCAGTCGTACCGCATCCATTTTTTACCAAACCGTTTCTTCTTCATCACGGTAATTCCAGACGCTCTCTTCCATGGGAAAAAGTTGTTTGTTTTCCCTTTCATGTATCCCATTCTCTTGAGTTCCTACATCTTTTTCTTTTGAGCAAACAACTGAAAGTTTATGAAGCACACACATGTGACCTCAACTTGAAAAATTTCTGATCGAGAATTTCAGCATTAAATCTGTTATTCTTCACTTTTTGCTCTCTTTGGTTTTTGAATAGGAAAAACTATTTGGAATGTCTTTTCAATACATTTCGTCACCAAATTTTCAGGCTTTTGGTCATTTCGCTTCAGTTCCGTGCAGACTCAACCACAAAGTGGAAGAGAAGCATTTTCCAGTTGTTGGAGCAAATTCAAAGATCAACCACTCTTATCATTAGTTGGTAATTTCCTTCTAATTCATCTACTTCTATTTAGTTATTGTACCTAATGTCGGAATTTTGATCACTGAGACACTAACATAAACTTAAGAATTTGGTCAGCTTTCTAAAGCAATAGCAGGTATTCCAGATTAATTGCTCATTATTTTTACTCTCTTACCACTTAGTTAATATTAGTTAATTTTCTTTGTGTTTTCTTTAACCTTTCCTTTAGGTTTTGTTTATCTTCTGAATTACCCACATAGATTATTTTGTCTTGCCGATCCTTCAATGTATTTTTCCCCTGTTTTATGCTTTTTGTTGGTCTACTGGCAATTAACTCTTTTGGTCTACTGGGAATAACTATCAAAGGTATATGGAGGAAGTGAAGGAAAATTAAAGTTGTCTCACAATAAGGTTTGGAAAATTCTGATGAAAATGGTCATCTAAAAGTAAATCCATTAAGAGGGTAATGTAAGTTGGTAAAGATTCAGTTCTTACAGTTTGTAAAAAGATGGGGAACAGTGATGTTGTCATATAATGTATTGTAAACATAAGGAAGTAGACTTTTCTACCAGAGGAAGAAAGGGGAAATTTGGAACTATGGATGCAGAGGAAAGTTCAAAATGAAGAGATCCCAAACATTGGGGACTCACTATCCGTGAAGCTTGATTTGGATATATAGATAACCATGAAAATTGCTTTAGCGAAGAAAACAGAAAAAATCATGTCTTTTCTTGATTCTGATGTGAAGCAACACAATCAACAGTAATATATCTTTTTCTGGAAATTCACCTTTTTACATGTAATTCATTCAAATGTTTAACTTTGGACTTCATCTTTTGCACTCTCTGTTTATCATTCGCTTTGCTATAGATAGGATTATCTCAACTCAATTGGAATTAACATATTCTCTCACACATATGAGTTGGCAGAGGATTGGGTGCAAACAAACAATAGCTTCTAAGACAAGATAATATTGCATATAAAACACAATCTGGTTTTAGTTTTATCAAATTTTCTTCTCTTTAAATCACATCAAAGGGATCTTTGTCTGCATAAGATTTTAACATACATAGGAAACTTCTTGCGTGTGTGTATATGTTATTTAAATAATTAAGCTAGGATATCTATTAGCATTTTGATAGTTTCAATCCTATTCTTAATGGATGAGATGGATCCTATTCTTAATGGATGAGATGGTCATCTAAAGACAAATCCATTAAGGAGGGCATGGTAAGTCTGTAAAGATGTAGTTCTTACGGTTTCTTTTTTTTTTTTTTAAATAAGGTCTTATAGTTTGTAAAAAGGTGGATGAGCAGTGATGTTGAGTCATATAATGTATTGTAGATTTAAAGGGTGGACTTTTCTACCTGAGGGAGAAAGGAGTAATTTGGAATTATGAATGCAGAAGAAAGTACAAAATGAAGAGATCCAAAGCAATGGAGACTGATTATTAGTCTTGAGGCGAGGCGCGTGATCAATACGTTAGATATCCAAGAAGCCTGTGATTTATCATGGAATTCTGATATTTCTTATTGTTTCCTCAGTTGAAATGTGAATGGACAGGTAATTTTTGGGGAAAACATATTTAAGAAAGATCATCGCCCTGCAAGATTGGAATGTTTGTTGGTTGTCTTTATCTTGGATAAGAACTCTATAGAGTAGGGGCAAAAAATCTTATGAAATTCGGCTATCTTCTTAACTTTACTGATTGAGGTGGTAACTTCTCTCTTTCTGTGATGTGAATCCTTGGTAACCATCTTTTTAAGATTTTCTTTTACCAAAAAAGAAAAAGAAAGAGAATATGCAAATGAAACTTACGGGAGTCTGTCATATCATCTCTTATCTTTAGTTTCACTCTTTTGTCTAATTTGTAATATCAAAAGTAAATGGTGCTTAAATGGTATCTTTATCGCGCCCAATGAAATACTCTTGATCCTATTATTTGCTATCGTTTTATTGCTTGCTCACCTCATCAGCTAATTTTATTTGCTTAATAAAGTTAAATTCATTTCTATAGGTTGTATTTAATGAGCTATACAAGGTATAGGACTGTGGGAAGCCTTCTTTTACATGCACCACATAAAAGGAAAAACCAGCTACATCGTGTTTGTTGACTTGCAAAGGTGAGTTCGGTTAAATTTCTACATGAGGTTTATGATTTATATTTTAACGTGCTAATACATGAGCACTCTTTGTTGGTTTGTAAGGTGAGTTTGTTGAAATTTCTAATTTATGATTATGTTTTATAGTATTTTAGCGAGTTAATACGTAAGCATGCATTAAATTCCTCTTCTGAAGAGAAAAAGTTGTGTCTTGTAACCTGATAAATATTATTGTTGCTCGAGGGTAAAGAATTGTTGCATTACTTTTTGCTCCTTTTATAAGTTACATGAAGGAAACTTCATTCAAAGTGTTGTTGTATCAAAGATACAAGTTTCTATGAAACCTCCTTTCTAAGGTCTGGTCGCTGCATTTATCTTTATTATTTGTTACCATTAAGGTATTTTTATGCTGAAATTTATGTCAAGGAGCCGATATTGAAAGGTATGTGAATCAATACAGAAAGCATTCATACAGAGTTTAGAGTTTTGTGAACCAGTCTATGGCGTTTAAAATTTTTATAATGATATTCTATGAACCAAGCAGTTGAAGATTATAAGCATGCATTGTTTCCTCTTTTTTGTTATTATAATTATCTGAAGTTATCGTTTCAGTAAATTATTTCAGTATTTACCTCTTTGGTTTTTGGATTTCTCTTCAAGCTTTGAAATAGAAGGATGATTATCTCATTCTTGCAGCTTATAGCAATCAAAAGTGAGGAAGATACCAATGGAATTGAAGGCAACAACTCATGAAATAATTTAGGGGTTCGTGACTAATTGCTTTGACGATTAATACCAACTCATGAAATTTTTATGTGGGGTAAATTTATAAAGTTACTATCTCTCAATTAATTAATATGTCACACCGCGCGAAGCGCGGATAAATTTACTAGTTTATAATTATTTTTAACATTTTTAGAATCACAAACATGAAAATTGCGAGTGTTTTCAAAGCTTAACAGACATATTAATACATATGCTTCCTCCTCAATTCAACATTTTACAACCAACAACAATCTTCACAAAAATTGCATTTTAACAGTGTATAAGAATTAATACAAAACAGAATTGAGAGAGAATAAGCAACAGAACTTAAGAACATTCCAAACAACAGAACTTAAGAACAAATCATATCCCCTAACACACACATGAAAGTGACGAGAACAAGAAAATAGAGAAAGAATTGGACCTTTATTACTGCGTTTTCCTTAACGTTTACAATGAAAAAAGCCTCCGATACAATGAACCAACAAGCGAGCTAATGACCTGAACCTCGAACCGGCAACTGAGCCTCGAACATATAGCGACGACCTCGACGGCTCGATGACTGGAAACCTCTCACGTTCTGTCATTATTTCTGCTATATTTCCGGCCAGTCATGGTAGCAGCAGATGTGAAAGGGTGGAGTGGTAGCTCTGTGTGTGTGCGCGCGCTTGCCGGTTTCAATGGCGGGTCGTCGGAGTTGCGAGATGAGGAAGAAGCAGCTGCTGGTTTGCGTCGTGCGTTTATGGCTGAAACTGCGTCGAAGAGAAAACGACGGGGTTCGTTTGGGTTGCTGCGTTCTTATCCGAAGATGGGGTGCGAGGAAGAGGATAATACAGGGGTGGTCGTCCTTGGTGTTATGCAGCTGAAGGCTACTTCAGCTTGGGTGAAGATGGCTGTTGATCGCCGGTATTATGAGGAGGGGCGGCGGCGCTGCTTATGATGGAGTTCTTCGTCGTTGGGTTTCCGGGGAGTGGGGTGTGAAGAAGATGAGGACGCGAGGGGGTGGGGGTCTCCTGTGAAAGCTGCGCCCCTGTATTTTTCAGCCAAAGCTGCGCTTAATCCCTTTTTGTGTATCAGCGTTGCCCTCGAGATTTTTGGGTGTATGTATTTGGCGTCTTCCCCTCAGGTCTTAGGCATCTTTAGGTGTATTATGTAGGTGTAGGGTCTAGGGTTATATTTTGTGTTTTTTGCTCATTAGTCCCTAGGTCTTTTGTGTATTAGGTCCTTAGGGTCTTTTTATTTGTTTTTATTCCAAAAAAGAGTCTAGAAAGGTCCCTAGACTACACAATGCCTTTCAAAATAAGATAAAAATATTACACAATGCTAAGTCTAATCCTAATTAATTAAAATAAACTATATTAAAATATGAAACTACTATATATATTTTTTGTATTTTCTAAATTATATAATGATAAATTAAGGTACTATTTTGTATATATTTTTTAAATTTATGAAAGGTACATAAACTAAAATATTTTTGTACTTTTCATTTTTCTTGTAATAAGATAAAGTAAAAGCGTCAAAATTAATTGAAATAGCGCTATTAGGCCTAAATTAAATATTTACATGCTAAAATATGAAAAATCTTGGGGAGGGTCAAAAATCACATGTCTACAGCTGCCCCTCTTTGACTGGAAACACGAAGAGTTTTCAGACAAAGAATGCCTAGACAGGTTTTTTGACCCGACCCTTATTTGGAGAGACTAAAACTAAGAGTAAAGGGGAATGTGACCGAGCCCTGGTATCTGAGCTGCCTACATATCCTTGGCTATAAAGGAATCAGGCCACGTGTAGTTCAGATGTGAGTAAGGTGATGGAGTATATCGAGGTGAAGAGCCGGTCGAGGTGCCGTTTCGTCGAGGTTCCGGTCTGCGGTCCTGTTATTACATCAAAAAATCAAAACATGAAAAAGACTAGCTAAGCCTGTCAACTACAAGTTACAAGATTCCTATCTATAAGTCTTCTGAAGCTTGATCTTGAGTCTTGAATGATTCTTCATGCAGACTTTGGATCTGAACCTTGACGCTAGATAGTTGCAGGTGCTAATTCATTCTTCCTCAGCTTTTCGGACCAAACCCGGACACCACACCATGCTTGTGACTCCAATCGTGTCTTAAGCAATTCACATCTTTCATCAACTTCTGCATTTGGATTAACTTCTTGCCTTTCTCTTTTTTTTTTCTTTTTCTTTATTGTGACTAACTTCTGTTGATCATCTCGGACTGTTGACTCGCATTCTTGCCGCGAGCTTCTTCTGTTGCTGACTTGTATTGCATTCTGAAGTGAATTCCCTTATCTCCAGGTAGGCACCTGATTGCCAATATTCAAACTGTCTTTCTTTGAACCTTGCTGCTTTCCCTTGAAATTTGTGCTATCTTCTTTTGAAACTTGAATTGCTTTCCCTTTGTTCTCCAGGTGAGCGCCTGATTGCTGAACTTGAACCGTCTTCCTTTGAACATTGCTGCTTGAACTTGAACTGTCTACCCTTGTTCTCCAGGTGGGTTCCTGACTGCAACAAAACAAACAAAGAAAATTTTCTGCCCCAGTTTGGTGACTGGGTGCAGCATGTTATCAGATATTAAAAGCTAAAATTGGAATTGTACTTCCCTTGTTCTCCAGGTGGGCTCCTGACTGCTGAACTTGAAAAGTATTCCCTTGTTCTCCAGGTGGGCTCCTGACTGCAACAAAATAGACAACAAAGAAAATTTCTGCCCCAATTTGGTAACTGGGTACAGCATGTTATCAAATATTAAAAATTAAAAGCTAAAATTGAATTGCACTTCCCTTGTTCTCCAGGTGGGCTCCTGACTGCTGAACTTGAAAAGTATTCCCTTGTTCTTCAGGTGGGCTCCTGATTGCTGAACTTGAAGAGTATTCCCTTGTTCTCCAGGTGGGCTCCTGACTGCTGCAAAACAAACAACAAAGAAAATTTTTGCCCCAGTTTGGTGGCTGGGTGCAGTATGTTATCAAATATAAAAAATTAAAAGCTAAAATTGAATTGCACTTCCCTTGTTCTCCAGGTGGGCGCCTGATTGCTGAAACTTGAAATATATTCCCTTGTTCTCCAGGTGGGCTCCTGATTGCTGAACTTGAAAAGTATTCCCTTGTTCTCCAGGTGGGCTCCTGATTGCTGAAATTGAAAAGTATTCCCTTGTTCTCCAGGTGGGCGCCTGAGCTTGAAAAGTATTCCCTTGTTCTCCAGGTGGGCTCCTGATTGCTGAACTTGAAAAGTATTCCCTTGTTCTCCAGGTGGGCTCCTGACTGCAACAAAATAGACAAACAAAGAAAATTTTCTGCCCAGTTTGGTGGCTGGGTGCAGCATGTTATCAGATATTAAAAGCTAAAATTGGAATTGTACTTCCCTTGTTCTCCAGGTGGGCTCCTGATTGCTGAACTTGAAAAGTATTCCCTTGTTCTCCAGGTGGGCTCCTGATTGCTGAAATTGAAAAGTATTCCCTTGTTCTCCAGGTGGGCTCCTGATTGCTGAACTTGAAAAGTATTCCCTTGTTCTCCAGGTGGGCTCCTGATTTCAACAAAATAGACAAACTAAGAAAATTTTCTGCCCCAGTTTGGTAGCTGGGCACATGGGTGAGTGTTAACTGAATTAATCTTCCAACTATTATGAGAATTATTCTACCAACTATCATGGAAACTCCTAATTGGATCCCAACTTAAACATGCAAATTTATGCTCCCTTGGGGTACATTTATGCTACATTACGCTAGTCATGGTTGTTTTGAGATTTAAACCTAGTCCCATTTCTAGAAGGGCCCTGAGAATTTCCAGTCATACTTGTTTGGGTGCTGCCTTGCCTTACAGAGGGATTCTCCGAAACTTCTGCCCCTGTTTCAATCACAGAAAAAATCTTGTCAGTTTAAAAATGTGGTGGTTGGTTTGTGGCCTTGAACATTGAGGGGGATTGCTCCTTCGCTTCCCAAGAAGGTTGATTTCCACTCGAAGACCTTGCTTGTTTCTGGGCTAGCCCCTTTCTTTGTCATCACATAGAATACCCTTTCTCTGTTTGGACCCACTATCTTCCATTTGTTGTGTTGCATGAACTGGCGCCTCCCCAACCTCTTGTCTCACATGAATCCCAAAACGCGTCCATTGCCTCCATTCCGTGTATATGCTGTTCTTTCTTGACCTAACCACTGGCCTCAACCTTGAGGTCTGTTGCTCCCTCACTTGTCGTGATAACTGATTTCATTTGAAGACCCTGCTTGTTCCTGGACTAACAACTTCCTTTGTAAACCTTAACCTAGATAATACCTCTTCTCGTTCAAACCCACTACCCTCTGTTTGTTGCACCGCTCATACCGATATTTACCAAACCTTTGTGTTTCACATGATCCCTGAAGCATGTTGATTGTTACCAACTTCAGTGTGCATGTTGCTCTTTCCCGATTTAAACTACCGGCCTTGGCCTTGAGGTCTATAACCTTTGATTTCTGTCTTGCTTGTCACTGGTCTACCACCCTTTGTCAATCCTACCACAGAAAATATCTTTGATCCACTCACCAAGCCCCTTCCATCTTGTTGCATTGTTCATGAATTGATACGTACCAAACCCTTGTATTTCACATGAGTCCCAAAGCATGTCAGTTGCCACCCACTCAAGATGTATGTTGCTCTTTCTTGAATTAAGCCTTTGGTCCAGTCCTTGAGGTCCACAGCTTCCCATTTGCCATGATAGCTTTGACTCCTGCTTGGAAAGTCTTGCTCGTCACTGGTTTAACACCCTTTTATCAAGCTTATCACAGGAGATACCTTTGATCCGTTCGCCCTAACCCTTCATGCGTGGTATCGTTCACGAATTGACATATGCCAGGCCTTTGCATTTCACAAGGATCCCAAAGCATGTTGATTGTTGCCAACTCAGTGTGCCGGCTGTTTTCTCTTGTCATGATATATTGATGTATTCACCAGATCCCGTTTTGTTCAATTGGAAAGCTTGGTGGCAGATTTTGAAGTCATTTCTCACTTGTCATGACCAAACATACTCAGGAGGAGGAAGTAAACAAGACAAAAGGAACATAGTAGAAGGACAATGGAAAGAGATGGTTCCTTACAAGAAAACTACAAAGTAGAAACCTATCGGATGTGGATACC